CCAGCCTTCACCCGCAAACCACGGCAAATTATCTCCTTCACATCCCTCATTTTAGTCTCTAACCAGCGGGAAAGGTGAAGGCTCAGCCCGGCTCCCCTCTGAGCTCGGCATCCCTGGTGCCTCCGGGCTGGCACAGCACAACGCCTGCGGCTTGCACCCACGCTGGGCTCCCCACTGGGCATCAAGATCATTTCTGACTTTCATTCCCTGCCGACACACGCTCTCTGTTCCCCTATTAACCGCCGCCGTTTTTCTTTTCTTCACCCTCGTTTTCCTTTCTGCGGAGCTTTTCCAAGGAGGCAGCCGGGGCCAAGCCCATCGCCTAAGAGAGGCTGTGAATCTCAGATAATGGCCTTAGAAAATGTCCTGTGCTATTTTGTGCTCATTCCTTTGTATTGCCTTGACATTTGTGCTAGGTTTTGGGGGCTTTTATTTTTTTGTCTCTTAATTCCCCTGACTGTTGGGCAGGTGTCTGCTCCCAGCTGTTTGCAGGAGCCCCAAGAGCTGTTGCTTGAACATCAGCCGCTAATTCAGGGCCAATTATCCCTCCTTTCTCACTGTGTTTCACTATATCCTTTGCAGAACTATATCTACAGACATGGGGCTTCATTCCTTTTTTTCTCCTTTCTGGTCGCTTTGCTTCCCACAGGCTCTTCCAAAACCCCCTTCACCGCTTTTACCAACTGCTGGAAGTCATTTGAGGAGCATCAGCAAATCCACAGTGAAGGTGTGTGGCTGCCATCCTCTCCCAATCCTGGTATCACATCCCATTGGTGCTTCTCCTCCTCCTCCTCCTCTCTGGGACCAGACCAGTTCTCCCAGTAGCTGGGGAGTCTCTGGGAGGGATCCCGGCCTCCGACTCTCCCCCGTAAAGGAATGATTTGCAATAACCCAGAGCCCAGGCTGCCTGCCCAGCCCGGCCGGCATCCAAGCAATCAATTCCCATTCAGCGCGGTGGCCTCCCTTCCTGCTCTCACAAACAATGACAAATGGAGCACCACATCGACTTGGATGGAGCAGCGAGCATCGGCAGGAGGAATAATTACCCATTTGCCAGATGAGATAGGACGTGTGGTTTTCCTGCGCTGCCTTGCTGGGAGCTGGGCAGCTCACGGCGGTTGAATGTAGAGACGGGGAGAGGGTCCCCACTGCAGCCGAAGAGCAGATCCTGGTGGAGATGAATCAGCAGGTGATGCTCTGGGGGTCCCCCAAGGGTGGCATGCCTCCAGTGCAGGCTCTCCAGCCGGCAGAGAGGGCAACATAGCACTGCTGGGGTCCAAATAGTGATTGTGCTATCTCTTTAACATCCAGGGCGGTGGTGGGATGAACTTCTGCAAAGCTCTTCAGATGTTTGGAGGCGACTAGGTGAACCTGAGGTCTTCTCCACGGTCTCTGTGGGAGAAGAGCCACATCCAGAGCAGGTTTTGCACCATCCAGCCTGCCCTCTTCGTGTGAATTCACACTCAGAGCGTGTCTTTCCTGAAGTTAAAATTTACTCCCTGGCTCACTTTGATGGAGGCACAGAAGAGCTCCTTGCCGTGGATGAGGAGGTGGGAGCATGAGCTCTCCAAACTGGGGTACACCAGCACAGAAAATGTCCCCAGGCTGGTCCCAGCCCCTTTCCCCAGTTGCTGGAAGAGAGATAAACTGCTTCAGGAAAATCCTGTCGGTGCCGAGAGGCAGAATGATGTCTGTGTCGCTACAGCTTTCTTCTTTCTTCCCTTAATTAAAAAGAAAATGTCTCCATCCAAAGTCATTAATTACTAATGACACAATTAGAACCAGTAAAGACGGATAGGAAGAATAAGATGAAAAAGAAAATGAAGAAGAAAAAAAAAGTAAAACAAAACCAAACCCCAAAAAACCCTCTGGCAATTTAAGACATTTGAAGCTTGAGAGAAATTAAGGAAATAATTGCTTGATTTAAACTTCCTTCTCGTTCCTGCTGGGCCCACACAGGATGGGCAGCGTGTGGATGGAAACCACCTTTCCAGTGCTCCTCCCTCCCATCAGAGCAAGAAGATAAGTCTCTCTATCTCATGAAATCTGATTTTCCTGCTTGGAGGCAGACCCTGAGGCAGCAGTTTCATGTTGGGATCCTTCTGCAGTCTGGCAGCTTCCTGGGCAGGAAACCTGGATTTAGCACCATAATCCTCATAGTCACCTTTTTCCACATCTACCTTGCCAGTGTTGGTATCTCTTGAGGCCTCACCCCTACTTCTCTCTCTCCAAGCATCCCATCTTCCCGAACGAGAAATCACAGTTCTTCCCCTCCTGCCCTGTCCCCTGTTCTGCTGACAACCAGGGATGGAGCAGAGCTGTGAGCTGAGGACAAGCAGGGACAACTCTTGATGTCCAAGTTTAAAGCTCCTCGGCTTTGAAAGGCCAACTTAAATTGCTTGAAGACTCTCTGAAAAATAGATTAAGGGCGTGGGAAGAGGGAAGCCCAGCAGAGCTGCTGGCTGCCTGCTGAGTGCTTATTATTTCTGTCAGCTGAGTGTTTTTAACTCGATAATCTCAGATTGAAATGGGTTTTGGGAGGGGAGGGAGCAGCAGGAGGCGAGGCGGCAGCTCCTGCGGGAGTCTGGATTAGGCAAAGAGTGAGTTTCTGCCTCTCTTTTGATGGTGAAAAGCAACCTCTGACCTCAAGGTGAGACAGCGTGGCAGCCCATCATTTGGCAGAGGAAGGGGTGAAGGAGGTCACATCATGGTGGATGTCCAGGCTTCCCACCTCCTCCTCCATCTTGGCCATCCCTGTTCCTTTGGAAGTGAAGGTACCCAAAACTGGGCTTCATGGCCCCTGGTGGCCATGAAGGCGATGGCAGCACCTCTCTTCTGGGGTCCACGAAGGACAGCAGGGTTTCTGTAGGTCCACCACTGGCAGTGGTGGTTTAAGCTGTGTCCCAGAGAGGAGGCTTTTCTGCTTGCTGAGGTCTCTGGCACAAGCATGCCTGTGTAGTCTCCAAGTGGGTTAGTTTTCTTGATGGACATACAAGAAGGGATGACCCTGCTCCTCCGTGCATAGCGAGGAGCGAGGGACTGTATCCTGACATCAGGACAATTTTTCTGTTCTCATTTCAGTGGAGAGAAGTTTCTAGGCAGGACATGCTGGAAAAGAGCCTGGACAGAGGACTTGGACACATTCACTTTGCCTACAACTGCGATCTCTTAGCAAGAACAGGTCCCCTACAAGATGCAGGGGGAGATGGATCCCACCCACATGCTACGTCTCTGTCTCACCACCTCTCACACACGAAGACTTCACAGCCCCAGGGTGCTGCCTGGTGATGAAGGAGGAAGGTTCATCCTTGCTGTTCTCTATGTGACCTGTCTTGCAGGTGGGCAACCATGCTTCCTCTCATCAGAAGGCTCTAAATGTGTCACTCAAGCCTTGCTCCAAGTCACAGCAGTTTTAGAGCAAAGCCAAGCCCTTTTCTCTGCTCAACGTGACCCTCAGATAGCAAACCTTAAAACCTTGGTCAGCGTTTGTTGCGGGGGGCATGGTGAAGGTCTCTGTGGCCAGCCAAAGGCCATCTGGACTTCTGCTGGGGCATGCTCTTGACCCCAATTCTCACTGAAATTCTTCTTCTGGTTTTGTAAGGGGTATGCAAAGAACCAGAAAAAGGCATAAAAAATGGGAAGGAAAATCCAAATTCTTATTGACTGCTGGGTCCCTCCGGAGGCCGTGGCAAGTGGGGATGGGGAGGGAGAAAAGCTCCTAATACATCCTTTTGTCTTCAAGCAATTATGTGAGAATGAGTTAATCACAGGGTCACAGAAGCCATAACCATTAATTAATCCCCAGCATGAGCCGAAAAGATGAATTTCCTGCAGTAAACAAACGTGAGTAACAGCGTGGCAAGGAATCAAGCTCCCGCCGGATTATCCCAGCCCGCGCCAGCAGCTCCACCACGGCTCTGCGGGGCGACCAGGCTGCACACTGGGGCTGGGGACCAGCTCGGGGACCTGCCCAGCCCCTGAGGGTGGAAGCTTTCCTGCCAAATCGTGGCGGGGAGAGCAGGGGAATTGCCACCAGTGCAGCTCTTCATTCGCTCCTGCCAATGGCAGAGGAACGTGGTTCTGCTCCCTCCAGCTGCTGTCAGCGGGGCTGGTGTCCCCCCAGTTTGGAGCAGGGGTGGGAAACTGGGCAGGCAAGGATGCAGAGTGCCAGGGGAGGGAGGGGTGTCCTTGCTGTCCCTAATCCAGCTGGATTAGGATTGGTTATAAACCGATGAAACTCTCTGCTGGATCATCTTGGCAGCCTCCAGATGGGAAAAGCTGTGGAAGTTGTCACCTGCTGCCGTGGGTGGGTGGTCTCAACCCTCCTGTGTCACCCCACCGTTCACTGCCTGCAGACTCTGCTCCTGCACTGTTACAGTGGGAGGGGGGAAAGAGGGCATGGAGAGATGGAAAGAAGGATCTACATTATCTATTTAATACCTATTTTCACATTATTGCCATTTTAATCGCTATCTGCTCTTGTACTTTGAGTCTTTTTTTGAAATACCCTGTTAAATCCCACATGCAGATGGATCCAGCCCATCTCCTGGTGAAACGGCTCTAAAACCAGCCCAGGACAAAGGCAACTTTGCTGTAAATCCAAGCATCTCCTTGAAAACTGGCCTTAATTTTTTTTTCTTGGTACTTCCCCTCATTTCCCCACATGAAGCAGTTAGTCACTGGCCCTTTTGGAAAGGGTAGGAAACCCCCTGAAAATTCATCTTGTAGCAAACTCTTCCTCTAAACTCAAGCCACACCAGTTCAATAAAAATTATGATTTGCTTTAGGCTGTGCAAGTTGGCTGCGTGCACACGATTAAATTAGTTTAAATCCAGCCTCTATTTATTTAGCTAAATGGAATAGGAATAATGCTAAAACCAAACTGAAATCATCCAAATTCCTCCTGGGCTGTCAGGGATTGTTCAGGGCAGGCACGAAACTCTCCTCGCCGTGTCTCATCACCTCTCTGCTCTGTTTCTTTATTAAGTCCCCGCTCTCCCTGGTGCCCTGGTCAGCTCATCCCAAGAGAGACCATCCTCAAAGCGTGACGGTGAGTAGATCTACAGCATCGTGACTGCAATCCCAGTAAAGCAATTTATTGAGATAGAGCAATTTATTAGCTTGGGAGCTTTACCCATATTTTGCAGGGTAGGACTAGCTGCTGGAGATGCTCCTCCTTCGGATGTGGTACCCAAGCGTGGTTTCTCCTGTGTGACTTCCCTGGTGGCTTCTCACAGGTCCAGGTGACATCCAGCCCAAGAGGCTGCTGCAGCCCAAGCCTGGGTGACAGCCCCATCCTTGGCTGGGTCACCAGGACAAGGTCTGATTCTGGTCCCTTGTCCCCATGGCCACTTCTTGCTACAGACCCTCCAGCTTCATTCTCCTCTCATCCTCCCTTCCTGTCTTCAGGTTCTTCTAGAAGGAAAGCTGTGTTCAGCTGATGTCTGTTTCTAGGAATATATGAAAGGAAAAAAAAAATCATAAAATACATTACTGCATATCAGTGGGAAATGAGTTTTTTTACCTACGTCCCTCCCCAATGAACATAAATTTAGGGCCTATTTACCAGTTTTTGTTCTTAAAATCAGACAATTTTTATCATAAAAAAAAATCCATTAAAAAGAAGTCAAAACATTTCACTTAAAAATGATCCGAAGGGAGCTGAGTGTCCTGAAGTGAAATATCTTATTTTGAAAGCATCATAATGAAACATTTCTGTTCCTTCCAGGTGCATTTCTGGGTCTCTCCAGCCAGACCTGCTTGTCCACGCTGAACTCCCCTGGTTGTCCCTTTGCTGGGTGCCCACCAGTTAATGCGATCCAGTACTGGGGTAAGTGACTCTCCCATTGACAAGTGTTTGCACTGATTTAACTGTCACTGGTTGACTGTAGACCATTGCTGGCTGTCACCTCCTGAATGAGCTGTGCAGAAATAAACATGATGCTCGTACAACAACGCCTGGCCGTTGGCAAAGCACAAGACCCAAGGCTCAAAACCCCGCTGGTGTTCATATTTAGAGAGCAAAAATTAACTCCAGACACCGACAGACATAAGGGAGCCCATTATAGCATCCATCAAGCCTTGTGCTCAATCAGACGTTTCCAAGAAGCAGGGGCATTTTGCTGAAATTTCTCATCTCCTCTCATTTATTTGATAACTGACCTTTGCGAAATTTGCCAAATCTGGCACGGCCCGAGTACCACTCGGTGGTGTTTATTCTCCCGCAGCCGGCTCCCTGCTCCTAATGATCAGTCTCTTCACGGCCATGCTAACCTTTGACAAGAGCACTTCATGAGCCTTATTAGCTGCTGGGAAGTTATACGATGGCCCTGTAAGTAAACGGAGGGATCGGGATGAGAAATCTCCCTGTGAAAGAGGGTGTTTTTGCATAAAAGCCAGCTGTGGTGGTGGCTTGAATGTGAAAAATTGGGTTGGAAGAAGCAGGGGAGCATGGCCAGGCTGGGGACGATGCTGATCATAGAATCATAGAATCATTCAGGTTGGAAGGGACCCTTGGGATCATTGAGTCCAACCATCTACCCTGTTCTACATAGTTCTCCCCTACACCATATCCCTCAGTACCCCATCTAGACGTCCCTTAAACACATCCAGAGATGGTGACTCAACCACCTCCCTGAGCAGCCTATTCCAATGCCCTACCACGCTTTCTGTGAAAAATTCCTTCCTAATGTTCAGTCTAAACCTCCCCTGTTGGAGCTTGAAGCCATTCCTTCTCGGTCTGTTGTTAATTACTTGTGAGAAGAGACCAGCACCAATCTCTCTACAGTGTCCTTTCAAGTAGTTGTAGAGAGTGATGAGGTCTCCCCTCAGCCTCCTCTTCCTCATACTCATAGGCAGTGGCTTTTTGGTGACTCGTGTGAATGAGGATAAATGAACCCTGAGCCAAATGAAATCGCGTCCCCAGCCCCAGCGACCTGAGCGGTCAGAGAGCAAAGGCTGGTGGTGACACAGGGAACAAAATTCCTCCTTTGTTAGGGTGGGGGGGTGAGGATGAGGATGACAAAGTGGAGGGATGGGGACGTTGCTTCCCCAGCGCTATTGGGGTGGTACCTGGGCAACTGTGTGGGGTAATTTTGGGGAGTGACAGCTGTGTTCCTCACTGCAAGGTTTGTGCACCCTGAATTGCTGCAAGGCTGTGCCTCGTCCTCTGCTCCGAAGGTGCTTGGGGACCAACCCTGATTCACCCGGGCTGAGACCCCAACAAGAGCCAAAAAACCCACAGAGGCTCAGGGATGGCTCCAGGTCTACCTGGGGCTGCAGCACCCAGGAGCAGTGGGGTGGAGAACTCCTCGGGCCGTGGGGAGTCCGAGGGGCTGTCAGACAAGGGGGGATCACCCAAACGAGGTGCCAGTCCTGTCTTGAGCAATAATCCCCTGCTGAAAAGCAGGCAACATTCGTGCCTGTGTCTAGGGAAAAGGCTGGGATATATAAATGCTGCCGGCAGGAGAGCAGAAGGGAAGCCAGACAGCTCCCTGCTTTAAAAGAGAGAGAGAGAGGGAAAATGAGCCTTTGCGATATCCTCACCCATTTACACACATAAAACTTTTCGAAACGCTAAGCCAAATAAAGTCGTCTTATCGGCGTATTACCACTTAAGGCTCTTTCAGGCAGATTTAGAATGAATTAGTGCTTTTTTTAACTACAAATAGGAGCAAAGTGAAATTTTTTACTCCATTGCCCCGCACAGCTCCTGCCTTAACCCTTGGCGGGGAGAGCGGTTCCCGGGGCAGGCAGGGACCGTGCAAGGTCCAGGCTCGGCCAAGGTCTCCTGGTACCAAGGTCTGGTGTGAAAGCTGCTGCTTCCCACAGGTCCTGCAGATCCTGGGCCAGGATTTGCTGAGGTCAATCAGCTCTGTGCCATGCTGATACCCCCCTTATTTTGCTGAGTTATGCAGCTTTTTGGAGCAGAGGGAGTGAGTGCCTTCCCTGTTCTACCTTGCCACTGCCAGGAGACTCAATCCGGCAGTGGGAAAATGCCACCACGGCTCATTATAATGGCAAATTGGCCACTTGGTCAGGATGGGGTTGGGTGCTGTGCCCTGCACCCCAGCCTGTGCCCAGGGCTGGTGTGATCTCTCCAGCTGCATCTTGGGGGGAGATGACTTGGGGACCTGGAGCAGAGCTAGGTTCTGTCATCCTCCTTCCCCACCTGCTGAGGGTTTGGGACACACTGATGTCTTGCTCCATGCAATTAACTTAGACGTGGCACCTCTCTCCTGATGACAGCCCAGACAAGAGGAATGATGGAGCTGGGCAAAGGCAGCGGCAGCAAATGCCTGGGAAATGATGGGGTGATGCATCCCCTTCTCTTTTCGTCACCCCAGGTGAACATCTCCATGCACTGGGGCACGGGTGGCTCAGCTGGTGTGCATTTACAGGTGTTTTGTGTCCTCTCTGGTTTGGGAAACTCAAGGGCCCAAGCTTGGATCTGAGCTCTGGAAAGCCAGAGTACATCTGTCGTGCCTGCACAGGATTGATGCAGTCGGGTCTCCTGGTGACTGTTCCCTCTGTGTCCAGACAGGACACCCACACTGAGTCCTCAGATGATGCCTGGGGCAGAGCCAGGGGCTCTCCCAGCCTGAGTCATGCCCGACCTGCTCCAACGGAGGGCAAAAAACCCCTGGGGCTGAATCAGCCCCCTCCAGAGGAGCCACACAGCCCCATCAGCCAGTGGCTTCCCACCAGCCGGGTCGCTGGCCCTGCTCCTCCTCCGCACAGGGCCCCCATCACCCATCAGAGAAATGCCACTTGTTAGTAATTAGTTGCCTGACTTAATTGCTCTCCAGTCCTGTGGTCTCGTTCACACTATGCTGCTGTTTCAGGAACGCTAATGTTTTACAAAGCTTTTGTGGTTTGGGTTTTTTTTTTTTTTTTTTTTTTTTCATTGCAGGGAGTGGGGGAAAACATCCATCGGGGGTTTTGTGGCTAAAATTATTTATAGAGATTAATGGCTGTGGCTTTTGGTGCCTCCAGGAACAGAGTCACCATATGCTCGCGCTTCTCAGCGAGACACATGTTCTACACACACACAGACACACACACCTACGCGCGGCTCTGCTCCTCGCTTCAGCTCTGCAGCGAGGCCACTCGCGGAGGTGGGTTGGGGCAACCCAGCGTGGCTGAGCGAGGAGAGAAGGGGCCACAGGGGCTCCAGGGGTGACCCCACCACCTGGGGAAGCAGCCAGAAGGAAAGGGGCTCCCACTGGGATGCTCCAGCTGCTGTGGCTCCAACCTGGTCCAGGCTGGTGGTACCCACTCTGGGGATGCTCTTGCATCTCGCCCTGCCTGCTGGGGCTGGCTTGTAGGAGGGGTGAGTGAGTCCCTAGTGTTGGTCCTGCTGTCCTTCCTTACCCCCGTGCCCTCCAGGGCAGTCCTGTGAGGCTTGGGAATGTCCTCCTAACCACACTCCAGAAAAACCCATGGATCCCCAAAATCCCAGGTTTACAGAATTACCAGTGCTGGAGATACTGTACACATCATCCCTAGAGAATAAGGCTCGGCTTTTTTAGGACTTTACAGTCTGTTTGCCCCTCTCCTCAGCTGCCTGAGGACTGAACCAGTACTACAGGAGCAGGTCACTGTGGGGTGGCCTCCCACACCTCCTTCCCTGAGTACATGGGGCTGCAATGAGCCTGGGCTGCCCAGGGCTTGCTGGGCACAGCGCTGGTGCTCAGGCTTTTCAGCTGGGATCTTCTGAGATCAGCTGAGAACCAAAGCTTTGTACATAGTCTTTTTGACCACTCCATGATGGTTTCTCTGTGCCCTGTCCTGGATATGGCCAGTGCTGCTTTCACTGAGACCTGTCACCCATATAACTCCTGGAGAGACAAATGATTCCCCATCCCAGCTCTTTTCTGTACAGCTCTGGGATCAAAGGAGGAGCTGCTCAGGGGAAGAAGGGGTTTGTGTGAGCTGGGACATGAGCCAAGAGCTCTGGGAAGCAAACAGTCCCAGCAGTTTGCATCTCATGCTCTCTTCCAGCGAGTGATGTGGGATGGCGGTGTGGAAAGAGAAGACACGCAAGATGTTACTCCTCATGGAGGCCAGCCTTCTTCAGGCTAGCTCCAGTTTCTGTGGGATGTTTGCACCAGGATATACAGGATCCTGAAAGGCTGGGAAATAACGTTAAGTGGTGGCCATTAGCTACCAGCTGTTCAGCAGACGTCGAACGATGCCGCCCAAACTGTCACTGCCAGTGGTGGAGGTGATCTTGGCCATTTGTGAAGGTGAAGATCTGAAGCCAAATCCATCCCTGAAAGGTTCACCTTCAAGCAGGGCATTGCTGGTGCCCTTCCAGAGTCCTGCTATTAATAAGGAGTCATTAGCAGAGCAGCTGTTGGAAAGAACCTCCTGGGATCCAGCGTGCGAGAGCCATATGGTGCAGGAGGGATGGGTGGAAGAGCGATGTCAGAAGCCTGTCAGCATCTGCCAAACTGGGGTGATCGGGGAGGCATCTTCTGCCACATGCCATGTGATAAATGGTTCTAGGAGCAGGGCTGACATCTTCATTTGCTTCTCCTTGTTGTGTAGCTCCTGGAAATCTTCATACATTGGGTTGGGGCCATGAGTCTCTCCCACATGTGTGTATCTCATGGAGCTGGTGGGAAATTTGCCATGAACCGTTGCTTCAATTTGGATTTTCAGGTTGCTCTTTTGCACCATGTTAATCTTCCACGCTCTTGAGCAGACTCCAGTTCCCAGCGCTGACTGAAAGGAGAATTTTCCTCTTGGTGAGGAATCAGCTTCTTCCCGATTCCTTTTCAGTACCTGCCAGGATAAGAAGAAAAATCAAAATATGCTAAATCTCCA